TCTCTCTCTCTCTCTCTCTCTCTCTCTCTCTCTCTCTCTCTCTCTCTCTCTCTCTCTCTCTCTTGCTACAGAGTACATTGCCGTAATAGAGAGGGGAAGACAAGATATTTTTAATTTTGCTCACCATTTACTAGGAAAAAAAAGAGTGAGTGAAAAATGTTGGGTGAGTGTGGCCATTAAAGGCCTTATGAGTGCTTGTAAAATGAAATGATATAATGGAACATAAATTCAGTAGAAGTATGATCCCTCGTGGACCATACTAAGCAAATGATGTTGGCTGATACCGGACTATGCTTGACGGTCTAGGCTAATCGATTGGGAAAAACCCATGTTACCTAGGCATATAGTAGATATCGATAAGCGTTCTAATGGGTCATCCCTTGATGAGGTCGGAGTATGCCCGAATAAGTGAGCCGAGGGACTGTGTGACCCTTGTGTGTGATGGTAGCCTTCAAAGACGAGGGCCAAAGTCTCATCCATGTACCATCATACAGTATGCATATTGATAGACCGTTTCGAGAAAGCAAACTACCTTTCAGGGTGAAGCATATGCATGTGCAAGAGATACCCCTATGCGTCATAGGTGCTGTGGTCGCATCAGATCTAGGTGACATTAGCCCGTTTCTAGGGGAGAATCGGAAATCCACTGACTGAGATTGCGACCCATTGACTCATCGGCCAGACTTTGGTGATCCACTAATGAGCCCCTATATGGACTGTGGGTCATGAGAAACACTGGATCGGTTTGATAAAGCAAGTGTGGTAGTCCACAATTGAAGGTCGAGTGCCCTAGATTATTTATTCCTGAACCATATGGATCTTTATCTCATCTAATGAATTTAATTGTATTTATTTTATGACGATATGATTTTAGAATTATTATTTGAATTTTTCTAGATCTTTGGATATTTTATTTATAAAATTTGGATTTATAAAAACAGAGATATTGAGTTTTAATGTTTTAAATATTCAAGTTAATTGTAAAATAATTTATTGATTTTTAAATATTTAAAAATAGCATTGGGAGCCCATTGTGGGCATCGGCCCCCCATGCCCTAAATTGATGGGGGCAACAAAAGCCACCACATTGGTGGCATGCCCCAATTTTTGGGGCTTCCTATTCCCATGGGGTGGCACGCCCCACTTTTAAAGGTTTCTATCTTTTATGAGATAAGTGGTTAAAGAAGATTTGAGTGAATATTTTAAAAGGCTTGATAAGGCTTGTGCATATTTTTGGATAAAACATGATTAGTATTATTTT